TAAACCCGTTTGGTGGGACTTCTATCTGTCGTATGCTGGCGTCATTACAGTATTTTTGCAAAGGTTTGTAGTTCTTTAAGCTTATTGCATTGTTTACTTCCTGGTTCGGTAAAGGGGTCCTAAAAAGCCACGCCCACAGAAACATCAGTCTTTTCCAGCTGCCACCACCAGTTGATTTAGCCACCAGTTGATCTATAACACCGGTCGCAAGTTGTAATGCGAACACAACCGTTCCGTTCCGTTGCGTTGCGTTCCGTTCCGTGCAGTGCGAAAGCGCCTATAGTGAAGAACAGCATTGGATTAAGTTACATATCAAACCCATTGTGGTGTATAGTTTGTCATATAAACTTACTTTAAATTAAAAGTGTGACGATACTTGATTTTATTCATTAAAATTCAGAGAAATCTACCAATGATAGTATAGCAATTTGAAAGATAAAAGCATACGGGCTAGAAGTAAAAATAAGCTTGTGAAATCAATCTGGTGACATTTAATGTGGCTTCTTTTAGTCAGACTCGGGGGTTCCCTAGCAACAGTCTGTTTTTAGAAGCTCTTTGCTGCTATGGACGACTGGTCATGTCAAAACTGACAATAAAAACAGAAATAATAAATAGTTTGATAAAGTGATTGGTATGGTAAACATTTTTTCTCCCCAAAAATTAGAAACATAACCTTTTCCGGCTTGGAGCTTGAATCTCAACGTTGACCAATAGGAGAGAGGCTGTCTCTTTAGGCCTGCCCACGAGGATAGATTCCCTGCCCATCACACCTCACTTTACCTCCTTCAAAGAGTCACTGACAAAGAACAGAGAAAAGAGAACATGAATAAAAGAAAAATAAATAAGTAAATGGACAACGGAGAAAACAGCAGGGGAGAAATGGAGAGGAAAATAAATCAAGAAAGAAAAAAAATTAAGTTAATACTACTGAAAATGAAAATTAAATCTTAGTTTGGAAAGCTCTTAGTTTTGTTTTTAAAGCAACATTTGCCCCATTAATACTTAATACTTTATGAAACCATTTATTTAGTTCTGTTTTGGCAGGTTAAGTCCTCCATATTACATCTGTGTAATAGTTTCAAGGTGTTTTAAACTAGAAACTAAACCAAACATTTCATCTCACCATTCAGTTAATCAACAGTGAGTTTCTTTGAAATTACGCCCTGGAGTTTTCGGAGCAGCAGAGCTCTGCTTAGAGACCGTTCTGGTTGCTAAGCTAGACGGCTGGGTGGAGTGGGTTTTCCCCTCTCATCACTGCCTTACCTTGCTATGTCATTTCCCACCATCTGCTATTTGTTTGTGGCGACTGAAAGTGAGATAAAGACTGTTTTGTAGCAATAGTAGATTTTAACCCTTTAGTGATCAAACATTTCCTTTAGATTGACTCCTCATGTTAAAGGTAAAGGCTATAAGTCCAGCTCTAAGCAGTTTGATGCCCCTGTGACTACAGTTGCAGAAATTTGGAGTTGAAGAGGTTAAAGGTCCATGTGACTGTAGTCAATGAACAAGTTCATGCTTCCGGTGTCACACATCACCTGTATGGTGAAGCTGCCTAAATGGTGCATCTGCATTGAGCCACTATGTGTTTTTCTTCAAAAGACTTTGCTCAAGAAATCTTTGAGGGCAGTTTGACATCTAATATTCTGTTAATTGAAAAAAAACTGTAAATACTTTCAGTTCTTGACATTTACAGCAGAGAATAAGCCACTTTCCCTTGATGTGGATATGCATGTAAAGTTGGAAGTGCAGCTGCTTTCTAGACAGTATGGTGGTGGCACACCGCCGGAGCACACATTTCTCTCAGTATTTCCACAATAAGCAGATAAGCATTGTAGACATGCTGAGCTACAATTAAGAACAGAGGAGAAAGCCTTCTGGCTTCAGTTCATTGACACAAACCAGAGAGGTACTTAGCAAGTGAACATTCACATCTTTGCTCCTGCATTAGCGACTGCAAATGTGCCTTTCAAACAATACTTAGTGTGCAAATCCTTCACTAGCTCAGTTCAGCCTGAACAGAATCTTCCTAATCTTGTTAATCTCCTTTTCCTCTAAAAGCCATAAACTTTCAGTGGGGAAATGTCATTGTCAGCTGTTAGAGCAAGAGACATTTAGCACATTGTTTCTTACTGATCAACTTGATATTTAGTGATCTGATACAAGCAGCGCCAGCTTCACTTTGTGAGCTGAAACTAACAGCTCACAAAGTGTATGGAAAACCTTTTTTTGAAGATGTGCCCTAATGAAGATTTTGAGTAAGTTTGGAGTTAGTCAGAAGATTACGTTCATTTGGATGTCATGTTCATTTTGAACCATACGGTAAATGGCCTGTACTTGGATAACACTTTCTTTAGTCCAGAGGATGCTAAAGCATGCCATTCACACACATTCACACACTGATGGTGCTAAGCTACATTGTAGCCACAGCTGCCCTCAGGCAGTCTGACAGAACTGAGGCCCTTTGGCCCCACTATGGCTGCCACCAGCAGCAGGTAAAACCAGTGAAGTGTCTTGCCCAAAGACACAACAACAGAGACAGACAGAGCAGCGGTTTGAACTGGCAACCCACAGATTCCAGGATTAACTCCTCCTCTGAAGGATGCATATGAACCATTGCTTTTCCATGGTGGACTGATAAAATATAATAAGTAAATATATGGGTGTACAAATTTTGTTTTATTGTGATATTTCTTTTATTCATAATTATACATATAGGCTCAAATGTATACATACATTCCCACTGATATTTGGTTGAATGATATTTAAAGAGCTGACTGTAGAACGTACTCTACCAATCTGCAGTAAAGATCCTCACTGGACCATTCCAAACATTTACTGTTGCATTTTAAAGCAGTGTTGATGTTTGGGATAATGGCCTAATCAACTGTTTGCTGTGATGAAATAGAGTTGGTTTAGATCTGGTCCTCCAGAGCTCCTCTGTCATGTGGGGGGGCACAGGGTTCTCCTTCTTCGGTTGCCACTTGGAGCGACAACAACCTGGCATCTCATGTCTTTCCCGGGTTATGTGGACAATATTCAGGTTTACCTGTCTGGGTTGCATTTAAAACTTTCTCCCTGATCGTATCTCCACATTTAAACAGTGGTTAAGCAAAAATGTCTTTTTGACTGAACAGAAGACCAAATACATCCTGTTCGGTGAGAATGCCACCATTGATGTCAGTGCTCTGAATTTTAATGCCACTGTAACAAATCTGGATGTGATTTTTTTAATAAGAATTTTGAATTTAGCAAACAAGCTGTCAAATTGAGCTTTTGCCACCTTTGTGTTTTAGCTAAAGTTAAACCTCTTTTAAAATGTGCTAATCTTGAGAATGTTTCATATGCTTTTATCAAGTCATGAATTGATTATCATAATGCTCTTTATTATTACAATTATCCTTCAAAAGGCTTCAGTTGCTTCAAAATGTGGCTACCTGCCTTCCACAGAAACTGATATCTCCACATGTTAACACATCACACCCGTCATGATCTTCCTCCTGTCTTCACTTTAAAGCTGTCAGGGGTTTAAACTCACCCCACAATTCTGATTTATAGAGTTTTGTGTCCATGGCAAATGGCTCATCATTCCTGTTCTTTTTCAATGTTTCCAGAATTAACTAGTGTATGCACACTGAAACAATTGGTCAGAGCACCCACACTCTGGAACCAACTTCAACTCACAATCTCTGACCTGGTACTATTTAAATATAAGCTTCCCTTTTTAAGATTCATTTTAATACTCAGCAGCACTTTCACATTTTACTTCAAATTTCAAAAGAAATTCTGAAGTAAAATGTCTGGTTTGCTTCTAGGAAACAGGCAGGGTTTTATTTTTAGTTTGTTTTGCAAAACAGCACTTTACTGTTTGCTGTTTTGTGAAGTGTCATGTAAATCAATAAATGACATAAAAATTATAACCATGGAACCACTTTTCATAAACAGGAAGTCACTGGTTCTCCGGTGCCACTGTTCTCAGTGTAGTCAATTTCACGTCAGCAAATTCAGCGAGAGCACTGAACACGAAAATAACCTCAGAGAGCCACTTGACATGAGTTTTGAAATTTTATTGAAAGAAAAAGTGACTTCCAATTATTCAGAGGAATACAGGGCCTGAGATATAAGAAAACCAAAAAGGAACATAAGGGAGACGACAGCAGGATCCATCAGTAAGTGAAAGGAAGTGAGGAGCTTAAATCTTAGGGAGTCTGATTACTGGAGAAAAAGCAGGAAGCTAATTGGAAGCAAGGTGCAGCTGTGAGGAGAGACCAGGCAGGCGTGCTGAGGGAGAGAGACAACCAGATGCAGAAGAGCAGAGAGGGGAGTGTTTGTAATCAAGGCGACAGGCAAAATAAATCCGACAATGAGAAAGGATGAGCTAAATATAAACGAATGACTCACCAAAGTCAGATCAAAACAACAGCGGGAAAAAGACTGATATATAATAAAGCAAGGGAGGCAGAGTACAAATAAACAGGTGATCAAAAATGAAAACACTAAACACTCAAACAGCCCACGATCCTGACAGCAGAAGTTTCAAACACTGACAGGCATAGTGGTGGTTGCATCATGCTCAGGTTCTATTTTCCTTCCAGTGATGCTGGAAAAAATGAAGATGAACACTTTGATTTCAGTTCAAATCTAATTAAAAATGTAAAAATGATTGGATTAGGATCCCCTCCAACAGCCTGTGTGTTATTTCTACACATAGATATTTATATTTAATAAACAAAATCAAGTAATAAAATAAAAACTAAAGCTTGGTAAATTAACTTTTCTAAAACTTTTAGTAAAATGTATTTTTTAGAGCAATATCAGTTCAGGAAAAAAGTAGTGAAGCCCCACTTGCTACTAAAAATTGATAATACTATCCATAAGCCATAACATCTGGTGAAAACATTAGAATGTCATCATTATGCTTCTTTTAAGGAGGACTGTCCGGTTGAAAGCTTGAACATTCAGTTTGGTTTGTGGCTTGTATTAGAAAATTTTGTTTTCAGTCTTATTTCATTTGTGAAGGAACTGATGATACTTTTTCTCATTTATTTACAGATTATATCTGCTTTGTCTTTGTATTTCTGGAAGATGTTTTTGTCCATTAAATAAGTTTGCAGATAATGTTTAGATGTTTCCACAGTTGTGATAGCAGAAGAGACCTGAAGACATCTTGGATAAAATGCTTGATATGGTGATTGTCTTAAAGGACTGACGTGTGTGGAATGTAGTTTGTACCTTGTTTGAGCTGAACCCATGACTAACTAACAAAGAAGAATTAGAAGTTTCTCCTGACATCCTTATCAGCTCTTTCCTGCCATAAAATCATCCCCTCCAAGAGGTGAAGGATAGTTCATGAGGTGGGGGTCAGGATTGTCTCTGTGGTCCATCTGGTAGTAGAGATAAGATCAGACTTTGGGTGGGTTTTTGTCTTGCTGTGACTATATAACAATGTGATGTGTGTTGTTCAGGGCTCTTCTCCTGACTGTGCACAGTTAGAAGGGTCTTCGAATGCTTTTGCCTTCGAATAAAGAAACTTAAAGACAAAGATTAATCTTTCTCTTATTATTGAAACAGCTTCTCATTCTTTGATAATGAAATTTCCATAACAGGCTGTATGCTGAAGTGACAGTGACTAGGTTAACTGTTAGCTATAGATATAACAGAGAAGATTAGAAATTCCTAAATAAAGAGCTAAACATGTATGTCCTTTATTTTTCACAAAAAAATGTCATTCAAGGCAATATCAAACATACATGTTGCTTTTCTTTGCTCTAGCTGAGCATTTCTACGCTGCCATAGTAATACCAGCCTGTTTATGGCAGATGGGACTGACTCCTGATTACTTCTTATCTATTTCACCTCCACTTCCTGACACTCTGCAACTTTCTGAACATCCAACGTCCTTCTGCACCTCCCCCACCCAAAAACATGCTAACCAGAAGTTTGACATGGTGTTGTTTTTTATCGGTTAAATGATGTCTCGTTTTTGGATACTCAATATGGTGAAATGTTTTGGTTGCCATGACACTCGTCCTCAACTTTGAACAACTCCAGTTTCATTAACTACTTTGTTGGGGTTCCAAAAGTGCCCAGTGTGGCATCAGTAGACTGCTGGAAGTGGAGTCATAAGAGCGACTTCCTTACAACAGTGTTGTTGTGTGTAAAAACTCACAGCAACAACACTGAAAATAACACTATGCTCCTCTGATGACTGAGTGGGGACATTTCTATGTTTGTTGCGTTGTATTTCTGTCAGGTTGTGTTACGTTTCGTTCTCTGGGGGCCATGGTGACCAAAAACACATATAGCTGTTACACAGTTGTAACAGAACATGACATGAACCGTGTAGAGAAGAGTTGAGCAACGTTGAGTATGTACTAGTGGTAAAGAGTCAGTGGAGTGGGTTACCATGGGAGTTGGTTATGTATTCTAACTGACATATACCCTTGGGTAGTTCAGGATGTTGGGAGGGAGGTTCAGAAGTGTAGCTGTAGTATGTTTGGTTCTGGTCGTGGCACAGTGAACCAGTTCTTTACCTTCATGGAACTGCCGAACTGACAGAGTCTGGTTGCCTGGTCTACATGGTTCCCTGGAAAAGACTTGCAGATACTTTTTCGGAGGAATCTTTTTCAGGGTTGGTGCAGGACTACAGTGGTAGAAGTGACACTCTTAAGGACTACACGGTCCCTGAGTGAACACAGAAAGAGCTCATCCTCTTTCTCGACACGTAGTCAAGCTTGTTCCCAGTGCATGTGAATTCACCAGATGTACCTATTGGCTTGTTTGAGATGTTTATGGATAGGATCTCAAGGCTTAGTGGTGGACTGGAGGACATGTAGTGTGAAAAACTCACGCCCTAATTTTGCTTTCTGAAATAATGTGGTTCTGTTGGTCGTCTTCTCTTTTTGGGGTTTGAGTTCAGCCTTGAGTGGAGAGGTTTAAGTGACGGTAGAATGAAGGGGGCGATAGATAAACAGATTGGGATTTCATCTCCAGTAATACAGGTCTTTCAAAAACAGCAAATCTTTGGATTTCCCAGTTAACCTCCAGGCTCCTCCCCAAAAATGGTCATAAGACTTGGATCATGACCAAAACAACTAGATTCCAGATACAGGCAGCTGAAATGAGCATTTTATCCTTGTGCTTTATTCCAGTGTTCAAATTCCTTACCCTGACTTCCACCTCGAGAAACTTTTATAGCATATTGTTCAGCAAAGGGCAATACCAACAAAATTAAGAACATTTCCTTCCAGTAATACAGCAAAATACAACACATTATGCCGAATAAAAAAATTGATAAGTGATAAATATGCACTTAAAGAGCATGTGCCTCTTCATCAATGATTGCAACAGCAGCCTTGTTGATATCATTAGTACGTGACAGTAAATGTACTGTGTACATGATGCAGCAAAGTTATCAGAATAATGTGGTTAATGGCTGCCGTCATCAGGCTCAAAGGTTTTCCTGTCTGGATGCAGAGCCTCCTGTTTCATGAAATAGTGAGTGTAGCTTTGTCATCAGCAGATCTGCTGGTATGTCTAATTCATAAGGATATTCGTAAATCGTAATGCAATCCACAAGACGGATTGCAAGAAATGAGGAAATCTTCTTTGGAGCGAATAGGAGAAGTTGAGTAATTTCACTTTGTCTTGGCCCCACATTAGCTGGGTGCTGACAGCTGGACATAACCTTGACGTCTGACAGGCGTGAGAATCTGATTCAGCAAACTCTGCATCTTCCCTGTGATAGACTCCAGCATCAAGGGTGTGATGAATGCTGGAATGAGGAATGTTTTTACCAGATGAATGGTATGCTTCAAAATGTAAGTTTCCATTACTACCTCTAGACAAGGGTAGATTTGCTCAGGTTTGAATACATATTTCTTCTCCATTGAGATGAAGTAGTGATTTGAATTTGTGTTTCCGTGTTTTGTTCCCCGTCCCATGAAGCCCTTCCATTCCTGACTCAGGGAGCAGCAGAAGCAACAGAACTACAGAGGAAGGACAGGAACATGAGGACTGAAAATTGAGCGAAAACTCATATTTATGCAATACCCTGAAAGTGTAGAAAATAGTAAGACATTTCTCCAGTTTTCATTTTTTATTGTTGTCTTTACTTCTGCTTTAACCCTTATCCATCCATCCATCCATCCATCCATCCATCCATCCATCCATCCATCCATCCATCCATCCATCTAGGAGTTATTTCTTCTTTGTTTTTCTCTTCATTCTGCAGTCATTTTGAAAGTGTTCAGAGATATTTATCTTTGATGATGACTGTGATATTAACATGCTGCACATGTGAGCTGTTTCTGTGCAGGCGACTTTAAAAGATGAACAGTGCTGTGTGGTTTTTGCATGCAGAGACACTGTTGCAACACACACAGAAACACACACATTCAGAGAAGCCCCACACTTCTTTGGAACTTCCTCTGGCTTGCTGACTTATAAGTGAGTGACTTGCACTGGGTTTGCAGTGGGACTGAAGTTCAGAGTGCAGTTGGCGCTGTTCAGCCGCAGTAAGACATTTTATTCCTTTGATTGTCTGCTTTTGGTACATGCATCAAAAGCATGCATGAATTATGCTTTTTAGTTGCTTGAATTTATTTATTTTTTTGCTCTGTTTTTGTTTAATTGCTACAAAGTCCTTTACTGCAGCATGACCTTGTGAAGTTTTTGTGTTTATTTCTGCTTTTGACAGAATTTACATAAAGATGGCAAACACAACAACCCCCTTTTATGATTATGACAACTATTCGGATTTGCCCACCGAACCGAAAGGACCATGCGACCACAACAGTTCTAACCTCTTAGGAGCTCAAATATCTGTCCTCTACTACTTCATGTTTGCCTTCAGTCTCCTCGGCAACGGGCTGGTCCTGATTATCATCTATCGGTAAGTGTATGTAAAAGCCAAGTTCCACCCGGACCTTTTACGAAATAAATGGTTTTTATGTTCATCCAAATCAGAAATGTAAAATCTAAATTCAATCCATAAAGCATATGCAGAAAAGAGCAAGTTTTCACGCTGCTGACCAAAACATTTATGCACTGTTTTAAAAGTGGACTGTAGAAATTTCCTTAAGTTTTTTTTGTTTTGTTTTAAAGACCTATCCCATTCCCCTCTGTGAAGGTTTCTGACATAGCTGAAGCAAGTTGAGCAATCTCAGTTCAAAGAATCAGGGAAAAGTTATAACAGAGAAAAGCTTATTGCTACTTGAAGCAAGACTTATTACATAACAAATTTCCTGTGAATATCTTCTTGTCAGGGTCGGAACTTTAATGTGTTAATTTCGCTTAATTAATTACATGAATTTTAACGAGCAAATTTTTTGCACAATTAAGTGGTTTTTTTTATATAGAAATGTCCCCAGCTGGAACAGTTGTATTGTGTTTCTTGTACGCCCAAAAATGTGACGCACAAGCGACATCTGCAACAACGGCAAAGTGACGATGAAGCCGGTTCTCTTGGCCACATCGAAGTTTGCTTCAAAAAAATCAACCTAGTTGGATGCTGGGGAAGACTATTGGTGTGCTCAGGTTATGCTAAAAGGAGTTAGCTGGAATATCATCTTAATGCTAAACATGAAGCAGCAGCAGACGTTCCTAATGCTAATGTCAGCGTTCACAGTCCACATTTCTAAACAAGATCCATTAATGATCAGGAGTTCCTGAAACACTGGACAGATAAATACAGGTCCTTCTCAAAAAATTAACATATTGTGATAAAGTTCATTATTTTCCATAATATAATGATAAAAATTAAACTGTCATATATTTTAGATTCATTGCACACCAACTGAAATATTTCTGGTGTTTTATTGTTTTAATACTGATGATTTTGGCAAACAGCTCATGAAAACCCAAAATTCCTGTCTCAAAAAATTAGCATATCATGAAAATGAAAAGGTTCTCTGAACGAGCAATTAACCTCATCATCTGAGGCAGTGGTACAACTGCCCCCCCACCCCAAACCCGAGGCGAGGATACGTTAAGGGTGAAACTCGCGCTAGATTTACATCATTATGTGCATGAGGTGAAGGAGCGTAAGGCGCGCTGAAGTGTATGGGAAAACATAATTGGCACCCTCCAGACGGGGTTTTGGCGCCCCCTCTGGTGCTGCGCCCCTATGCGTTGCATGCGCTGCATACCCACTTTTTGTGCCACTGCTCTTCCTGAGGTTAAAGCCTCAGGAATCTGCAAGAGATTCCTGAGGCTTTTAAAAACTCCCAGCCTGGTTCATTACGCAAAATTGCAATCATGGGTAGGACTGCCGACCTGACTGCTGTCCAGAAGGCCATCATTGACGCCCTCAATCAAGAGGGTAAGACACAGAAAGAAATTTCTGAACAAATAGGCTGTTCGCAGCATGTTGTACCAAGGCACCTCAGTGGGAAGTCTGTGGGAAGGAAAAAGTGTGGCAGAAAACGCTGCACAACGAGAAGAGGTGACCGGACCCTGAGGAAGATTGTGGAGAAGGGCCGATTCCAGACCTTGGGGGACCTGCGGAAGCAGTGGACTGAGTCTGGAGTAGAAACATCCAGAGCCACTGTGCACAGGCGTGTGCAGGAAATGGGCTACAGGTGCCGCATTCCCCAGGTCAAGCCACTTTTGAACAAGAAACAGCGGCAGAAGCGCCTGACCTGGCCTACAGAAAAGCTGTACTGGACTGTTGCTCAGTGGTCCAAAGTACTTTTTTCTGATGAAAGCAAATTTTGCATGTCATTTGGAAATCAAGGTGCCAGAGTCTGGAGGAAAACTGGGGAAAAGGAAATGCCAAAAGGCCAGAAGTCCAGTGTCAAGTACCCACAGTCAGTGATGGTCTGGGGGGCCATGTCAGCTGCTGGTGTTGGTCCACTGTGTTTTATCAAGGGCAGGATCGATGCAGCAGCTATCAGAGGATTTTGGAGCACTTCATGCTTCCATCTGCTGAAAAGCTTTATGTAGATGAAGATTTCATTTTTCAGCACGACCTGGCACCTGCTCACAGTGCCAAAACCACTGACCATGGTATTACTGTGCTCAATTGGCCTGCCAACTCTCCTGACCTGAACCCCATAGAGAATCTGTGGGATATTGTGAAGAGAAAGTTGAGAGATGCAAGACCCAACATTCTGGATGATCTTAAGACCGCTATCGAAGCATCCTGGGCCTCCATAACACCTCAGCAGAGCCACAAGCTGATTGCCTCCATGCCACGCCGCATTGAAGCAGTCATTTCTGCAAAAGGATTCCCGACCAAGTATAGAGTGCATAACTAAAGATGATTATTTGAAGGTTGACTTTTTTGGTATTAAAAACACTTTTCTTTTATTGGTCGGATGAAATATGCTAATTTTTTGAGACAGGGATTTTGGGTTTTCATGACCTGTATGCCAAAATCATCAGTATTAAAACAATAAAAGATCTGAAATATTTCAGTTGGCGTGCAATGAATCTAAAATGTATGACAGTTTAATTTTTATCATTACATTATGGAAAATAATTAACTTTATTACAATATGCAAATTTTTTGAGAAGGACCTGTAGATAGAACATCACTTAGCCCCAATATGATGGTTGAATAACCAGGATAACATGTTTGTTATTGAGCTCATATGTCTGATTTTGTAAATTAAAAATTTTGCTCATTTTGTTGATTTTGATTTAAATGTGATCAATTATAATTAAGTAATTACAGAGCCTGCAATTTACCTGATTAAAATTTTGAATCAAGTCCCACCACTACTTTCATTTGTGCTTCCATCAGTTTTTCAAAAATTGTTATTATTTTGTTTTAAAATCCTTCTCACACTGCTAAAGCTGTCATCACACTCTTTACCACTTAGTCTTGTATTTTTGGGTTTTACAAAAATGTGTCGTGTCTTTCAAGCATGTCCGTTGGTTTTGATGGATTTTCTGTGGAGTGTGCGTACTGGGATGAAGGGTGTAAAATTGACAGAGATTTAGAATGCATGATCTTGATATAAACTTATTTGTCTAAAATCCATGAAGCTACATTAGTCAGGATCACAGAAGAGTCACACAGAACCACAAGGTGTGTCAGAGAAAGAACAGAACTGTGGGTCAAAGTGTTCACATGAAAACTAAACCACAACTTTTACTCTTCCAGTTAATTCCTATTCAGTCTAACACACTTCCACATTCGTCTACAGCTCCGTGGTAACAATGCCAGGTTATGATTAGAGAGGCTGGTCCTGCACAGCCATGCTGTGGGTCAGGAACGGTCCGATGCTCAGAACATTGTGAGCCTGCGCAATGTTGTGGTAAAATAGACCCAAATTGTCCAGTCGCAAGTCTGACCTCTGTTAGCACATCCATGCAGTAAAGAGTAAATAATCTCTTTGCAGACATGCTAGCTGCATTCCCATTACAAACTTATGCAAAACTTTGTCAATATTCCGCTAATGTAAAAAAAACAAACAAAAAAAAAAACACAATTTCTGCTCAGTTGCGTTTTTCCATTAAACAAGAAACGCAATTGAAATAATGTGAATAAGTTTGTTCCAAAAAACATGCTGCATCATCAATCTGCTACCACTTCCTGTTGTCGTCTTCTTCATGGTGGCAACATCTGGTTGTCGATCTTGAGGCAAAAAGTGTTTCCATGGCAGTTTTGTGAAATGAACCAATTTCAATACGGGTTATCTTAGCGCCAAAACGTTTGATCAAATAACTAGATTTTTAAAAATTGCTGTGTTTTCATCAAGTGCATTATATGGTCAATAGAAATGAGCTAGTGGTCAGCTCTACATGGGCAATGTCTCTGTTATAGAAAAATGCAAGTAACATGAGGACGACTTTGGAATTTGACTGTCTTGCTGTCCTCACTGTGACAGTGGATTGTTCCACTGAAGGCTGTGGTGATTGGTCTCTATGGTATCCTCTGTCATTCATTACTCATGAACAGTGATGACTCTTTGGCTTGTGAAGATACTCCTGGACACCCAGACACACCCATACTGACTCATTCAGCAATACTGACATCTCTACACACGCCCTGAACCTGCCCAAATCTTCCAGATTTCACTTTGGATCAGTCAGTCAGTTGATGTCCATGCATCAGATACTTGATGTACTTAACATTGGGAACAGTCTTTCTCGTTTGTACCTCTTGTGCCACTCGAAACCTCCGTAGAGCAACATCGTCTCATTTCCATAGACTAGAATTTGCTCAGAGTTTTCCTCGGCCAGACCAAAACCTTTGCTCTGTTTTAATCACTTTCTGGTTTGAAGTTGAGAGGTTGTTAACAAAAACACACAGGCTGTTAACACTGCAACTTCTCTTATCTTGGATCTTGTGATGACGGCACCCATAAACCTCTACTTGTCTTATCTCTTCCAATGCACAGCGAGTCCTATTTTAATTATTTCAGGTTTATTTCATGGAAACAGACACAGTGACATAGACAAACTGAATTAAACAGCGGTTCCATTGCCTGTGTCATGGTGCTTATAGCGTAAGTTAATTTGTTTAGAAAAGCCCTAGTTGGGCTTTTCTAAACAGTGTATTTAAAAACTATTGGGAAATTTGTTCTATGGAATACATTGTAAAAAGTAAACATTAATTATTTTCAGTCAAATATGTGAATGCAAAGCAATGAAGAGAACTGTGGAAATAAGGGAGCCCACTGACAAGGAAAACTAGCATGTAGGAAAATTGCAACTTTAAATGTAGCAAGTGAAAAAAAAAACTTGCCATTTTGAAGTTTGATCAAAAACTGGACAGCACATTTGCAAAGGGAAATAGTTAGAAAACACCCTTCAATACAAACAAACAAAAAAACAGAAATTTGCCATAAAATGACATTTTATTCTGACATTTGAAACATTTGAAAAGACAGACTTGAGGGGGGATGTAATGAGGCTGTCTGAAAAAAGAAGCACTGAGACTATAAGATGAAGTCCTGGTTCTGTGGAAGCTTGTTATTTTCACTCCTACAGAGTGAAGTACGGTAGGTAGAGAGGAGTGGGTGGGTTGAAGGCTTCTATCTCAACCCCCAAGAGTCTTCTCTGCTCCACCAAGCCTCTTCAACAGCTCTACCTCCAGAAGAAGAGTGTGAGGATATTTTATGTTCTCATGGAAACTCAAATGACAATGACAGATACCAAGTGGAGGAAAAAAAAGACACAGTGGGCTTTGGGCTGAAAAGGATTGATACTGTACATTTTAAATCTTTCAAGTGATCCTAATGACCATTTTGTCCAATGTTATCTGACTCCTTTCACTTATAGAAATTTGAAAAACTGCAAGCACTTACAAAAAAAATGCAGCAACGTAGCTCAGACAGTGGAGTTTAAATACCATCTCTTAGATTTCAGATCAATGTCTCATCTTCTTTTCTCATCTAAAACGCTTAAGAAAATAGTTTATAATCAGGTGTGAGTCTCTGCACAGAAATGATTTTCAGTGTGGTTTCACAGCTCAGCATAGCAGTGAAGCCACACTGGGTAAAGATGTGAATGACGTTCTAAAGGCCCCAGATATTGGACTTATGTCTGTTCACCTCCTGTTTGACAGCTGACCACAAGATTAACCTTTAAGATTTGAATATACCAGGCAAGTTTAAATCTTATTTGTCTGACAGAGCCCAGGTCGTTCTTGCAAACAATAGATTTTTCTTCATATTCCAGGGTTACTCAGGGAGAACCACAAGGTTCTGTGCTTGAGCCAATTCTGTTTACTGGAGAAGTGAGCCAGGTTCTGCTGCAGGTTTCTTTCTTACGTGTGAATGATTGAATAATTAAATGTAGTGTAAAGCACTTTGACTTGATAAAGTGTTTTACAAGTACAAATTTACCATTTACCAAAATGGGGGATTTTCCTTTCCACTGTTGCTACATGCATGCTCAGTATGAGGGATTGCTGTAAAATCAACAACAAAATGTTGCTACATATTCATCCAGCAGGTCTTGCTGCAGGTCGCCAGCAGCATTTCCATTACAAATGTGTGCAGAACTTTAACATTCACTAATGTCGAAAAGAAACATTTTCACAGATGCAGTGTGTTTTCAGTGAATAAGAAATGCAAGTGAATAAGTCATCAAAAAACATCCTCCAACTGCTTATTGCTGTCTTCTTTGTGGTTTGCACCAGTGTCAATATCTGTTTTTTGATCATGTGACTCGTGATGAGGGACAAAACTATTTCCACTGCTGTTCTGCGAAATAAACCAATTTTGATTCGGCCAAAAAAAAAAAAAAAAAAAAAAAAAAACCCCCCAACTAATGCCCCCAAATTTAAAC